TGGGTCATTAGGCGATATGGTACTGCTTCGTGGAACTGCTCAGTGACACACTGACTGCTCCATTTCATCGCCAACTTGATCTCCCTTCAGGGTTCAGCACACTGGAACAAAAGGCAATATCCAGGCCGATCGGCGACTCTCCCACTGGGCTCGATGATCTTTAGGCCTTCATTTCTTCGTTCTTTTCAGCCACTTTGTTCTTTCTTGCCAATTAGTGTCCATGCTTTGCCTCAAGCTTCAAATACCTGAAACTTAATGATATTCATCCGATATTGAGACAAAATATGCATTTGAGGACACTAATTCTATCAAAATATAGACCTAAATGAGTCCAATTTGTGAACTCGTCAACGACCCAGGGGGTACCCCTAGATGTAACAAGGTACATAGTACCTCGAGAGGCACTATGTAAGCCACTTAGCATATCATAGCATCAGCATAGAACAATACGGATTAAAACACATTTCAAGTCTTAAAAAGTTTTTCATAAAAGCAAAGTGTAAGTTTAGACTTGTTTCAAAATAGCCATCTATTACAACACTTGAATCAAATAGGGACACAGCCCATACAATTTAGTCCAAAAAAAATACGAGAATGAAACAACCAAGTAAAAGCATCCATCCTCGAACCATGAGGACTCACCCAAAAGCTAGGAGCAATCATCAAATCCAAGCTTTAGCAACAATGGGGACCACATTGAAAACCGCACCCTACACTTGGCGAAAAATGTAGGAAAATATAGGTTAGTGCAAAAATGCACTAAGTGTGATAGCCATGCATAAAAATATTGAAAACATGCAAAAAGGGACATTTTAGATGAATGCATGAACTTTGCTAAGTTATATCATCATTTCGAAGATAGTGGAAAAACGTAAGTCATAAGCATAAGAGACGTCATAATATATCAAGGGTCAGTCTGCGAGCCAAGGGTAGCTCGCCGAATATAACAAAATGATTTTCAAATATTTAGGCTGAAAAAGGGTGATCACAAAGTCTTTCGGCGAGCACATGCATATCGCGGAAAGTTACAGAGGCTAACAGCTAAATTTCAGGGTAAAAAGGGCGATTTCAAAGACATTTGGCGAACCGCCGAATCAGTCGGCGAGCTCGACTAAGCTCGCCGAACTGCCCCTCGTGCCAGATTTGTATCCTGACTTTCAATTTTCAATGTACACCCTATGCGAACAAAATTAAAGTCCTATTCTATGCAATTAACACCTAGCCCATATCACTATCAACCCGGGGTACTCAGACTTCCCCCATTTATCAAAAATCGACAAATCAACGTCTTTTTCCCTTAAGAATCACATCACCCGCTCATTGGGCAAATTTAGTTGATCGATACAATTCGGGTTACTCAGACTTCACCCACATCAGACCCAACTTGCTACAACCACACATCCGAAATTTCAAGCAATTTAAACATGGAATTCAAAATATAAGGGGATAAACATGAATTTTAACGCGATATAACAATAGCCCACAGTTCAAAATCAACCAAATACACAAGATCATAAAATAGAATTAACAATTATACGAGCATGCATAGGAACTGGCAAGAATTTAAAGCAAGTTTGAGACACCAACCTCTGAAGCAGTTAGACACAAAACTCAGGCGTTTATATACGAAAAATGCAACCAAGAAATGACACCCACGCAAAAATATGAAGCAAAATATGATCTAAATTGAAAGGGTAAGAGTGCAAGAGTCGAAAAATGCAAAACGAAAGGGAGTTTTGAATTTAAAACGATTAGAATCCCTTTTGACCCTTCAGTTCGCGCCCCAATCGGTGGTGGTCACTTATTTTGCCGACCCGTTCGGCGATGCGCCGAATGCTACTTTTGCCCGCCAAAGTCACCAGAACTCCGACCCTTTGGTTGGTCAAAAAGTGATTCATGTCAGGATCGTCGACCTTCTTGGCGATTCACCGAGTGGTACCTAAGCTCACCCAATTGTCTATTTCTCCCAAATTTTGACTTTTCAACATGCACATCTGACAACCACTATTCAAACAACAAAACATAAACTAAAATTTGGGTTGCCATCCAAGAAGTGCCTTATTTAACGTCCTAGCACAACGTGACCATGTGATCACATCGTGCTGGTCACATGAGACACCGCATTGCCCATAGTAGGGGAAATAAAATAACACCCCCACTTCCCAGTTGATCCTCATTAACGTCAAACAAGTTTCCGATGTCATCATTATTCCCAAGTTGACTTGCATTTCTCCTGTTCACAGTCATTTCTTCATCTGCTTTGAAGCAATCACAAAGAACAAAAATAGGATAATTCAACTACAACAAAATTAGTTCATGACTAAACTTCAACAAACAAATTCTAAACACCACTCCTCGGCAGCGGTGCCATTTTTTGATAACGTTCAACTACACTTCATCCGATTCTAAGTGTAGGCAGTCGCTAACAAGTATAAATCCAACTAAGATTTGGGGTTGATCCCATAGGGAGTGTACGGTAAAGAATTTGATTACGAAGTAGAATGGTATTCTAATCGTTTCTAGTTGTAGACATTTTTCGCAACAAAAAAAGAAAATGACAAAGGAGTTGACAATTAATGTCAAATGGGGAGATTTGGGTGAACAATTAACAACTACAAATAACCGGGAGTAAAGAAGTAGAGAGAGTTTCTTGGGAGTGTGATAAATTGAATGCCAATTTCGCTAAATGGGTGATTATTATTTACTAAAAGTCATTGAACCTCAGTGGCTAGGTTAGGCTTTAGGTGCAATAGTCATTTCTCAATCAACTATCACGAATCAAGCGAGTTCTTTCGAACTTTGACAAGCAACACAAATTAGCAGCCCAATACCTTAATCAATTTACTTTTACAAGCTAGATTTGTAGGATTGCATTTAGACCGACTTTCTCAAGCTAAATCCGCAACAACACAATCACTACAATCATCAATTAATAGCTTAACTCTAATACATCTTTCTCAAGCAAGCTTAGAGAACTAAAATAGAATTGCATTTACCACTACAATTTCTCAATTAAAATACAAATTATTAATTGAACCCGCTTCAAATCAACAATAAAATCAGTAAATATTAACACCCATAAGCTAATTGAAACATTCAACTACATAATCACACCCCCAAGAATGGGGGTTTTAGCCAAACATAATAAAGAACAAAAAATTGTTACAAACTATGTTTTCCATCAGATTGGGCAACAATTCACAAGTCTCCAAATGCTCAAATTGAAGGTAAAAATCAAGCAAACACTAAATCTCTACTCAAAAAGTGTAAGAACAATGTTTAGAATGTTGAAGACCAAAGACATAGAACTGGTCAATGTGGGAACTCCTTTTCTTCTTTTGAAAATTGCATTTATACGTTTCCAAAATTTCAGCATCGGAGTCACTTGGTGAAGTAAGTCAGGCTTCACCGACCTGGTCGGCGATGCGCCGAGTGCCCCTTTCATCACCTTCTTGGTTGTGCCTTTCACCATCTCTTTTTCTCTAAAATTCGGCGAGCTACATTAGCTTCGCCGAACACTTTTAGTGACTCGCCGAAATACTTCTCCTATTGCCAAGTTGGTCTTATCCATGGGCTGGCCTGCTGGAACTTTAGGTGAGCTGAAGGTCCACTCGGCGAGTCGCCCAGTGGCTTTGGCGAGTACCAACTTTGCGTTCCTTCAACTTTTTTACGTTTTCTCTCCTTTTTGCCTTTGTAATGCCCTTACCTTGCTCTTTTTGTCTTCATTTTTGCAAATCAACATTTTAACATCAGTTATGAGCGTAAAATAGGCATTGAGGACACTAAATCTTTCAATATTAAACCCTAACTGAGTCAAAATCCCCGACTCATCACATATCATGTTTTCCATTAAGTCCCTTTATGATCATGTTTCTTGTTTTACTACATGCTCCTCATACTTAGTGCATTTCATGCATACTTGAGCCTCCATTGTTTCACTAATGTAGGGTGTGACGATTTCTCTCCTACCGTTCATGGCGAGTTGATCTCATTGATGATTCAAAGATCAAGAGTTGGTGAGTCCTCATGTTTCAAGTACCATGATGCTTCGTTTTTCTTTCTTATGTCTTTATGTTACAGACTTTGTATGAGGTGTACGGGTTACGTCCCCACCACTCTTATTGATGTAATATATGGTTTATCTAGACTTTGATGTACTTCTGTTTATGTCAAACTCTTTACATTCTTATGAGATTTCTTGTTTTTCTCTATTATGTTGCGTACATGTATGTCAAGTGGCTTGTGAGGGGCCTTTCAGGGTCTTATGTGTCATGTCACGCCTAGAGTGTACTTTGGGTCGTGACAAAAGGCCATTTTGTAAGCAAGTCTTATGGAAAGGAAAAAAGCCAACCCATCTTAGGGCCATTGATGCATTAAGAACTGCTTATCTGAGAATAAAAATTAAAGTTTGTTGAAAGCTGATCGTTTATGATTAAAGGGAAACTTAAGAAAATCTCACTTGTTTAAGAGTTAATTACTTTGATACACTCTTGTTTGAAATATAAAGAATCTTAGTAGATTTTGGATATGTCCATATACATGTATCTTAGGATTCATGGGAGCAATATTAGATGTAATTGTATCTAAGTTGATTCTCATTTAACTTAAATACATAGACAAATATCGCTCGTCACCCTCCTATGTATATAATTATTTGAAAGTAAAAATAAAATTATGATATGGGTGTATGTGGAATAAGGTATTTTTCCCATTGTTAAAATTAAAATATAGAAGCGGAAATTTGCAGACATTAAGATGAATCATCTGCCATCCTGATTTATGAGCTCGAACACCTGATTGATGGCAATGACTGGGAGGGAAAAGCTTGATGAATCCACTATCTATGATTGAGAGCAAAAACGTCTGCACAGATAGATATTCTACATTGGAACCCCTCTCTCTACTCTACATACAAGTACAAAGAACACCAAAACTCCGAGCACTTGACCATGATTACAAGATGATGTGAACAAATAGGAGACTGCAAACCGAACACATCATCTGACAATCAAAACATCATTATGGTCGAAACTGAGTTTGAACAGAATATTTTTTGTGAAATGACATCAAGATATATGTATGGTTAAGAAGAAAATCCATGGACACGTACGTGTACATCACAATTTACATCACAAATTCAGCTTTCAACAATTCCTTGAAGGATCTTTTTAGCCTGAGCAAGGCTGTCCATGTGACCAACTTCCGAAACCCATACATTTTGCATGGGAAGCATCACGATATCCAGCTCAGTCAAATGTGTCTCCAGCTGCCTGATAGCATCTGAATTCACCAAACTGCCAACAACCGTCTGCCACAAAAAGCACATCTTAAATTTACCCTTCAAAACGAGTACATAATGTAGCTTCCGAGATTACAGGAATTGGCTGACAGGTTGACATAGCAAAAGAAAATAGATTCCAAGTTAAGTCAAGACCACCACCTTAAGTCCTTAACCTATGTGGTAGTCTCTACACTTATTCCATTGGTACAATATGCATCTGCATACATGGTATAAAAGACATTACACACATACATACATACATTCCATAGGAATGTATTAGTATCTATAGGCATATATGCATACTCGTATAATTCCATACTATAAGATGAGATGACATAATATATGTGACTGCTAAGTGCAAATGAAACTTACCAAAGGGGTGCTGCAGCAAGCTTTGAGGATGAGGGACTGAAAGAAATCTCGATCCAAACTACTTATAATCTTCTTAGACTGGGCAGAAAAAACAAGATCTTGACATGATGAATCAAACGTGGAGGCCTGGTTTCTCACTGTGACTGTGCCATGCCGCTTCATTATACTCCTTAAACTGCTACATGCTTGCTTTTTCCTGGTCTTCCTTGACTTCTTGCAAGTTTCAGCATAGGCTTCACCTCTAAGTTCTTCATCATGTAACCCCAGAAAAACTGCTGCCCTCTCCCAACTAGCCCAGCAACAGCATGATGATGAACCGTGATCTGCACAAGCATATAGAATAATCATGGAACACTAAGCCAATATTGTTTGAGAGCTGAACAGGGAACTTTTCAGAGACTAGGACAAGATCTAACTAACTGCTGCAAGTGAGATTTTTCCAGTAGCAAAAGAAACCTCATATACTATGGGGGAAAAGGACAACAGTACAAATCTCTGATGATTACAACAACTATGCCTCAGTCGTTGAGGAAATCTCTGCATAAAAATTCGAAATATAAACACCTGGTAATCTTCTTAAAAAATATTTAAAAAGAACTTGGTTGTTCTATAAATTTTAAGATAAATTCAACATGACTGTAAAAGTGAAGGAAGAATTAGAAAATGGCAGGATAAAATCAAATAGACCTCTTTAATATATCAAACGCTCTGAAACATTTAAATTCAGAAACATACCAAGGATAAAACCAGCAAGTGGAATGTCAATCGCAAATGAATTAGGTCTAGACTCAGTTCTTGACAGATGGTATTTGTTTTTTGTGTTGTACTCCAGGACAAGGACATAAATAGCCACAACCTGATATTAAATGAGCCAAAAAAAAGGATGTCCTATGAGAAGAGAAGTCCAACAAGTGCCTATAAAATGTTAAGAAAAAATACTATGGATGTCCCTAATCTTTTGAGTATTCATTCCTGTGACCTTGTGTATTTTCAACTAACTTCGCCTTAGATGTCAACCTAAAGAGACTATTTAACCCAAGAAAATCTAAAGATTGTTGGCCACAGGAAGAAATCAACAATCAAGGACTAGAAAAGATGAAACAGATGTGGAAGCTTTCAATATGCAATATTAGGTATGTCTTGTTCATTACCATTTCCATTCTCTTTTTTTGATTTAGAATTGTTGCATTTTCTTTTCCATTTGGTAGGTAATTCCCAAAGAGTTCAAGTTTTGTGCACTGTCAGTGGACAAAAGTTTTTACAGTATCAGGTAAAATTTACCTGCTAATTGCTATTGCAGGTTGCCCATTCTTTCCATACTTCTTTTTCCTTTTTCTAAAATTAATAAAACCCTCATCTCTCCTTCAAACCCTCCATCTCTCCTCCAAACCCTCCCTCCATGGTCTCTTTCTTTGATTGTCCTTCTAATCCCATATTCCTCTGATCTTCTTCATGTGATTGAAATACCTAATGCAATCTAAGATTTTGATGCCAATTTTTTATGTGATATCTAGGGGTTCAAATGCTTCTCAAGTAAAAAATAACATTGAAAATCGTCTAAAACATGCTACAATAAACCCTTAAAGTAGAAGATTCTCCAGATCGAAGGTCAACAATGGTTAAGCTGTTGAGGATAAAGTTCACAGTATTTGAGACGTTGAAGAATTACTCGACCTTTTTTAAATAATTCCAGTCCTTCCTTGTTTGATTATTTGACTGATTATGATGAACAAGTTCAGAAAAATATGGCAAACATTAGAATTTGATTTATGTTAGAAAGGGAAAGTAATGTGATTTCCATCATAAAAAGAAAGAACTGATTTGGATAGAGTACAACTAGGACTCCACAGGTCTTTTATTTTTCCTAAATCCAAATTTTATAAAGTTACCATGTTTCTCTTTTCATTTACCTGATAGGATAAAAAGCTTTGTATACTGACTGTGCACAGACCTAAAACTCAATCTCAAACTCAAATGATATTACATGAAATGAAACAAAAGAATAAACTAAAAGAAAGTTCTTATTCAAAATGTCCAATTGAAAATGGAGCAGACTATGCCAAAGTGCTGGAAGGTTTATTTAACGTTTCAAAATAGGCATATAATAAAATAGATAAGACACCTTAACTTTGACTCAACTGGCAACTGAACACCCCAACTATGAAAATGCACATCTAGACACCTTAACTTGGTTTAAGTTGGCCCCAAAAACATCCCAACTTTGAGAATTCACCACCTTAAAAGTGACTAGATGTGCATTTTCAAAGTAAAGGAGTTCGCGAGACACAACTGTTTCAGATTGAAGTACCTTGATGGCCACAATGAAAGTTGGGGTGTTCAATTGTCAGTGGAGGCCAAGTTAAAAGTGTCTTTCATTCTAGATAAACTGGTTCCAAAATATGTTTAAGGCCAAAACGAATATTGATTTCCTAGCAGGAGTTTAAAGAAGTGGCTAGAAGAGAAGAATTTGCAACTTGTTAGGGTAGTGAATAAGTTGTTCAAGAGGTTACATGTTTTCTTTTTCAACAAGATCAGAGACACAATACTTTTAGCCCAGCTAATATCTGCATAAGAACTGTGGTTACCCTGCAATGGAACTCCACTTGTTGAGTCGCTAAACAGCTTACTGTATCAGCAATTAGAGATGCAGTATTAGCATAGAATGGAGAACCACCATCCAAGTCCAAAGCAGCAGATTTGTAGGTGTGTGGATCAACACTGTGATCATTTATCAAACTTGATGGGTTGATAACAATGAAGGATGTAGGTATCAACATAAAGTTGTCCTGCGCACTGGAAAAAGAACTGCTAGGTAAATAATATAAATGCTACTCCATGTTAAAAAAAAAATATTCATATTATTAATACACCAGTAATGTCATGGCTCCAGGCATGCATAATGTGCACTGCAGTATCAAAAAGAAGCAATCTTTTTCAAACAGCGCCGTAAAAAAGGACTAGGGATCATCTATGCTGTTTTTACTGTATATTTTGTCAAACATAGAAAAAATTGTTAATGGAACATATATTACTTGATAATGCAGGATATGCAGAAGCTTACAGGTCAGAAATATTAGAATGTTTCAGAATCTTCTCTAGATCTTAATCTTCCTTTCATGTGTCAAATATGCACTCACATGACAAAGCTAATTTAGTGAAATAAGCAATAATAGCACTTAGCAATTGCAAGAGAAAACTATTACTATAATCTACAAAATACTTAATAGTTTTCACCTAAAATGTATCCACATGTTAGAAGGTAGAAGTGCAGGAGGTGACCCATTGAGCTTTAAGAGCTGCTAAAATATACTGAAATTGAATACCTGAGGGCAAGTACTCTGTGAAATGATGCAGTGACACCTCGTCCAAATCCAGCAGGGTAAGCGGGTTTATTTGCAGAGCCAAAAATCTTGACCTAGCCAATCATGTAACAGTCTTAAGGTAACGAAAATGTTTTCTAACAATAAAGAGGCAAAAGTATAACGTAATAAGTTCAGAAGATGAAAAGCAAAAAGAAGATACCATCTTATGGTCTATTAAAACGTGGACACATATACTGATAGTTCCTTCTAAGAATAGTGATGGACAAACACCATTGATGCTCTCGCACCTCAAATGTGCGGCATATGATTTTCCATCTGAACAATGAACAGCCTTGATTTGCCCATGAATAGATGTTAGATTTCCCTCTGGCAAATTATGATCAGAGGGGCAGATGTTGGTCATTTCTCCAAATGGAACAAGAGGCTCGAGAGAACAGTTCTCCAACAACACCAAGTTAACATCAAATAAGTTTGTGACATCAGATGGCATATATAAGTTGACATCTGAAGAGATATCATTGCTTCCATTAGGCAAAGAGTTTGGAATTTGAAACTGATGATAGCCTTCTGGAAGATCATTATTGTGACTTAAAAAGGAGCCAGACTGTTGAAGCAAGCAGGATACATCAAAATTTTGGTGAACATTAACAGATGAAAAAGAAACGCTCCAAATGTTGGTTCCCGAATTCACAACTATTGTATCACCTATTGCATCAGTACAAAACATATCTTCTTTCTGATGTTTTATAAGGTAATGACTTCCAATTTTTAACCTCTGCAACATCAATGAACAAAAGTTGTGTTTATGTTGTTAACGTAAATTTTATGTCATTAATATGCCAGACATCAGAACAAACAGAAATGAAATGCCATACCTCATAAACAGATAAAGCTTCAGGCTTGAATTCCAGCAATGCCCTTCTCACTTGTGGTTTGGAGCAAGACCCCACATCTGTTCTGGTGTCTGTGTGGTGCAACATACCAAGGAAAGGATAATTAACACAATTTCCCGTCACAAGACACGGGATCTCCTCTGGACAGCATGAGTCATGACGCTTGCCCACTATAACTCGGTTATAGGGATCTCCTCTGGAGCTGTAACTCGGTTCATTTCCAGTATCATAGAGTGCAGATGTCAAAGCCTCATTAGACAGTTGATCAGGCTTTTGTCTTTTACATGCAATAAGCTTATCAATTTCCATTCTATTAAAAAATTTCATTGGTTGCTTCAATTGGTCTATCAAAGGCTCTTCAATACAGGTATCTCTGTTGTTGCCAGCAATAAGTAAATCCCAAGGCAAAATTAAGGCCTCAGCAAATGTGCTTGATGTATTTGAAGCATGTTGACTTCCTTGAAACTGATGCTAACATATCCACAGACTCATTATTTTTGTTCTCTCAAACTTGTAAGACGAGCAATATTTTTTGCAAGACACATACCTTTTGCAGAATAGGGAATTTGTGCATCAACTGAAGTAGATGATACTTTCCTCGTCCAACTTTCTGAAAGTCAACTGGTGAATGTACAGAGGTAGTAAAATGATGATTTACAGGTATTAGGTCCCTCAGGTCGTAGTAAAAATGCAGTGGCATGTTCATCTCTCTCACAAGTGGAGCATTCTCAAAAATACTTCTACACGTGAAAGGTGCATTTTGGAGTAAATCCACAGGACCCAGCTTCATGGGTATGTCTTCCATAATTGCAAAAAAATTTCTGACCTGAGAGAGAAATTATTTTGTGGGAAAGAAAAATGAAAATATATAGTGGATGAAACAATTTCTACCACATAGCATTTATAGTGCTGGACCCCAAATGATTAGGAAATGAGAAGCACCAAATGAAAGAAGATTAATGTTGCATGAAACCTCATATATGTTATTGATGTTCAAACTTGATGGAAGATCTGGTATGATAACATCAATGCTTCCAGTTGCATCAACAAGCAACATCCTTCCAGACGATTGTGAGACCTGGCTGAATGAAAAATTATGATGATAATATTTGGCAAGTTTATAAGAAATATGAAGTCGGAAATAAAGATACTTTGAGTTTAGATATCAAATACGCAAAATTGATGACAACGGCATGAATAGCATACATCATAGAGCTTTAGAGGAGCTTATGGACGCCAAATAAAGACATATAATGTGTTGAAGGTTCATCAAAGTGAAGAGAAAGAAAGAGGTCATGTGTTCAAATGGCCATCTCATAAATTCAAGAACTAACAAAAGAAAGAAAACCAAACGAGGCCCTTATATCATTAAGGGTAAAATTGTAAGGAAAGTGACTTCTTTATTTCCTTAGTGTAATAGTAGTCATTTGTCATTTGGAAGACTTAGTATTTTGAATGTTCGATATTGAAGTTGAATACTCTCAAATTGTAGTTGCTAGCTTTAGTGCTTAGTGTAATTCCCTTAAGGAATTAGTGAGTGATCAGTGGTTAACTCTTAGAATTGATAGTTAGCTTCTTTGAGTTTGATTAATCAAAGGGTTACCCATTTGTGGTTCTTAGTTTCCTTCGATTTTCCTTGCTTGGGTTTAGTTTAGGTTGTTGAACTCAATTGGTAGGTGACGGTCTTAGCCCCTTGTTCCCCCATAAGTTCAATAGCTTGAATCTTAATCCACATATCCTTTTCATTTTTATTTCCATTCCTTGTTTGATTATCATCAGTTAAGAAAGTAGGAAGCTACCATCATGTTAAACTTCTTGTGGCCTCTTCTGTGTACATAGAATGATGCTAGTAAATGAGGTTTCCATTTATACAGATTAATCCAATAAAACTACTCTTCTTTTACTATGGTCATAAATTAAGAGGCCACCAATAGGCAATAGTTAGGAAATCTACCTACCACATAATGTCATAATAATAGGCTCCTAACTTCTGGCAAGTATATCATTGAAAACACAAAAAAAGGAAGTACAAATAAAAAGTTCAGACCTTTAAGATTCCAAGCAAAGAAACACCTATGTCTTCACTGTGAATGGCTTTCCTTATAGACAGCACATAAGGTCTGCCATCACAAGATATGGAGTTGTTCTCCTTTTGGGTACCCATGATATCAAAATCTGTGTCCTGATGGCAAATCATTTTCTTCCACATGGCCTCACAAGAATTAATTAAATTAGCGATAGGTGCAACCTGAAATTGATTGAACAATGATTATTACATTTTATGTAGCTAAGTTGGTTTTGATTTCTTGAAAGTTAAAGCAGTGTCTCCAACCCCAAACCGCAGAAAGGAAAACCTTCAGATAATGAAAATTTCATAAAATCTGCAAACTTACCAACTTCAAAGGAGCAGAACTTCTTTCCCTGCCACACGCACATTTATCATGCTTGACAAATTCCATGAACATCCCATGCTGCCAAACCAAAAAAATTTAACAAATGAGTACAGTAACGAAGACTCAATTTATATGCTCACCCAATGATAACACACTTACCCGAATTCGGAAGATTGAAGGGGGTAAATATGAAGTTGCATATGTCTGAGCCAATCCTTTCCTCTGGCAACACCTTGCAATTGTGCACATCAGCTAAAAACAGTTTTGTATGACACTGGGCACAAAGAAAAGATATTACGATAATACAGAGACTAATAGCTTGTTTGGCCAAGCTTCAAAAATCAGCTTATTTCGACATCTTCTCAAAAAAGTACTGTTTCTGAAAAGCAGACTGTGTTTGGCCAATAAATTCTGAAAACACTTTCAAGCAGCAACTAGTGTTCGGCCCAAGCTTTTCAAAGAGCTTCTGAGTGCATTTTTCTCAAAAGTGCTTTTCAAAAAAGAACTTCTAAGGAAAAGCTACTTTTTTTAGATACTGCAAAACAGCTTCTACTACTATCCAGAAACACTTATTTTCTCCCAAATGCTTGGTCAAACACCTTACCCTTCTAAGCTAAGCACTTTTGGCCTCCAAAAGCTTGGTCAAATAGGCTATAAGTTCTAATGTATATCACTGGTAAGGCAAGCAACTTACATTTGTTGATCCCAAGATCTCTTTCTCAGATAAGATCCCAGAAAACTTTCTCCTTAAACAGATGATGACAAGTAATACCCTGAAGCAAATGAAAAGACCATCATATCAATGATAATATTAACACAGACACAAAATCAATTTGATGATTGTTACTCTTGCTTTACTACCATAGCCTGGCAACAAACGCCAAGGAGTCAATGAACTTTGCAAGAAGACTCTCACAGCAGGTCACTGTATAACACCTGTGAGCCCAACAATTATTAAACAGGTGAATAAAATTAATACGCAGGTACGGTGGAATCATATACAAGGAGTGCTTAGGAGACTCAACCCGGTTTCCAGCGAGGAGAAACATTCCACAGAAATGCTAGTTTTAACACAAGAGCCGAGTATAAGCGTCTTTGTCCATGAAAAATTTGGATTTACAACATGAACGTTTTTCACTGATACCTGAACAAAAAGGTACCCTTTAAGAGACTAAACACATGAAAAAAATCTTTAATTTTCTTATCAAAGTAAAAATACCATTTTACCATTTTAGAAAACATACCATTGCTCCAACTCTCACACTATGTGGAACGGAAAGCTGCTGATCAGTTAACAATAGCAACAGTTCATTATCCAACTCAACTATCATACCCCTCATGTAAATTCCTGTCACAGTTCCTGTATAACTAACAAGTTCTCCTTCCCCTCTCACATCAGTTACCCCAAGGGGGAGGGGAAAGTTAGGAATATACATCAAAGAATTATCCACAACTACATACATCAATCGAGACAGTTTTTTTCCCACAAATACAAGTCTCTTCTTCAATCCCGATATTGAAACATTTTTCTTTATCAGTCTTGAAAGAACTGGATGCCAAGAAGAAGCAGAGCCACAAAAGTAGACAATCTCAGGTTTGTTATAACAATGATCATTTGAATTCCGCATATCCAATCTTATATTATATTTAGAATTACACAATTTACAGCCACAAACTAAAATATTTACGAGGAAGCCTTGAAGATTTTCAGTATGAGCTGTGGAGCCAGCTCTGCATGGAACGACAGAAACAGGGCTAACAGATTCTACTAGGCCGCATACAAAGTATCGAGCTTTTACACTATAATATTGATCAACACAAGACCGAGAAAGTATTGAAAAAGTATCCGAAGATGCAGAAGTAGAATCGAGAAAAGCCCACCGAATAATTTCTAAGAACCCACCATTAGCATTAGCATTACAGTTGAAGGGTATGAAATTCCAACCTAAAATTTGAACCTTTTTGTTAATCATAGAGGGATTAAACCGAAGAATGTCACAACAAACAGTGTCAGAGCCATCAGAGAAACGAAAACAATTGCAGTTGAGAGGTGAATCGTGTCCATCTCCATGAGGAGGTAGAAAAAGGATTCCAGTAAGAAGAGTTGGATGGTTAAGGGATTTGAGTATTTTTGGGGAAGAAAGTATGGGAGTGGGAGTGGGGAGGGAGGGTGAAAAGTGTGGTGGTGGAATTTTCGGACAAGGACTGGAAATAAGTGACGATGCGCCGGTGCGAGGACGACATTCACGGAGGAGCTCCGCGATTGTTAGGGATTTCACGCTTCCTTCCACCATTCTTTGATTTGATTTCATCATACAAACTCACATTTTCCTTTTTTTTCGCCTATATATAAAAAAAAAACTAGACTAGAAAGTGACGCACGGGGCCAAGCCCAACAATTTAATTTGTAATGTCTTAAAATTTGCAATATTTTATTATTAATGTACAATGATAGATATATTTTATTGTAATTTTTTTCATTATTACACGTCTTATTTTTTGTTGCAATATTTGTGGACTGCTATGCCCTTTTATTTATTTATGAATAAACAAATAAAATTACAAAGTGTCAAAGGAAAATACAAAATGACTAAACGGTCGTTTGCCCAATAAGAAATAAATATGTTGAGAAATAATCAAAGTCTTTTATTCTTTCTAAATTGGTTTCTTCTAAGGTCTGCACTCCCTATAAAGAAACCAAAACTCTTCTTCTTCATCCTCTCTCTGATCTACCTCCTCCATGGTCGGTAACATCGATTCTCTCCGACCTCTTTCTTCTTTTTTCCACTTCGTTTTCATTGTTTCCATTCATGTTGAGATTTATGATAAATGAGCTGCTTTATCAAAGATTGCTTTTGCAAATTTATCATGTGGGTGTTTGTTCATTGCATCACAGTTGGATTATGTCCTCTTCACACTTCATTTTCCAGTAAGTAAGCATGTTGTATCTTCCCTGTTGAAAATTATCCCTTTTCTCGCATTTGTTTGCCCTAAGAATGTATTTTTCAAATTTGTGTCATTCTTTTTCATATTACAATGTTTTCCCTTCCCCCATTGGTATCTTGATTGATCTTCTTAGTTTTGATTCTCAAATTTGCTACTTGATGCTTGTCGAGGTTGAGGATTTTCTTTGCATTAGTAGGTAGTTCTGTGAAAGATGTACAACTGAATCTATTTTCCCCGTTAAAGGATATATTAGCTATACAATCCGCCATAGTATTACCTTCTCTATAGATATGCCTCAATCTGACTTGTATTAATCGAGCAAATTGTTTGATATCTTCCACGAATACTTCAATCTGCCATGGAATTTTCCATATACCTGATAGAATATTGACTAGCATCAAAGAATCAGTTTCTATCTGTATTTCACCAATCCCCATATATAGACAATGGTAAAAAGCTTCTCTTATAGCTATTTCTTCGGCCTCTATGTTGGTTGTTTTATGTATCTCTCCCCCCTGAGCATACACTAAATCACCGTTTTCATTTCTTAGACAAAAACCATAAGCACTCTTCCCTGGATTCCCCTTTGAGGCCTCGTTTGTGTTGCATTTTAAACTTCCTTGAGCTGGCGGCTTCCATGTAACTGATATAGATTTGGTTTATACCTCCCCAAATATTCCACCATTTCTGACCAAATTGTAGGAACTTGCAGCATCTCAGGGTAGATTATAGCTTCACCATTCTTCTAATATTTGTGTTCACTGTAAATACAAGCCTATTGAAAGAACAAGTCTTTCCATTCTTTAAGTTGTTTCTCCTTTTCCATAGATGCCACATGATAATGGCAGGACTGCTATAAATATTTTCTTTAATTTTGGATAACATTGAATTGTCCACCACTGATTCAGAGCCTGTGAAAGTTGTAGTCCTTCGATGTTTATACCTGCAAAAATAACAAACACCTTCCACAGTTTTGAAGTTATGGAAGAGGTTAGAAATAAGTGTGACATAATCTCTAGTTTAGCTTCCTGAAAATACCAACACTTTGAGACTAGATGTTTCCCAATCTTTGCAAAACATCATATGTCGGGACCATATACTTCCAAGCTCTCCATATCAGGAATGACATTTTGAAGGGCATTTTTCTTGCCCAAATTAACTTGAAGATCTCTTCTTGCTCTTCTTTTTGTCTGACATACTCCCATGCACTCTTTACAGAGAATTTTCCATTTGTTTCCAGCATCCAGTATGGTTTATCAATGGATTCAGTGTTGTTAGGAAATGGGATGTTGATGACAATGTGTTGCATATATGCAGCACTTATGCATTCTTCTAACTTTTGTATATTCCATCTATTCTCATCTGCAAACTTGCACACTTCTATTTCTTCATTATCAGATTCTGGTATAATGTGGTATAGTGCTCCCAAGGTTGTCCAGTTATCAAACCAGAGGCTGGAATTTCCCCTTTGATCTGTGAACCGATTTGATGCTCCACTACCTCTCTCATTCTCACCATCTTTTTCCATATTGTATAAGCTCCTCTACTTTGTGAAATCACTAGATGAAGCTTTTTACAATATTTATTCATCATAAAAGAACCCCACAGAGAAGATTTGCTCCTTAGGTTCCACCATAGTTTACAATAAAGGGCATTTGAAACATCAATAAGTGATCTGAAGCCTATTCCACCCTCTTTCATTGGTAGACAAAGGGTCTCCCAACTCACCCAATGCCTACTTTTCTTGTCATCTGAGTTGTTCCAAAAATATCTTGCAAAGATTTTATGGAGATGTCTTATTACACCAATGGGAGGATTCTGAGAGGAAAAAAGATGAATGGGAATGCCCTGAAGTACATGCTTTATAAGAACTACCCTTCCTCCATATGCATAATATCAATTTTCCTTGCCAAGATTGCACGCTCTTTCCTATCTTCTTGATCATTGTATCATAGTAACTTATCTTGTTCCTTCCATAAAAAATAGGGCATCCTAAATAAGTAAAAGGGAATGTTCCTTTTCTTATTTTTGTCATTCTCTTGATTTTGGAAACAATGCTTGATGCAACCTTATCGTGAACATAAAAGGCATTTTTTTCTAAATTAATCAATTGACCTAATGCAGACTCGTATTTATTTGATACCTTGATCATTATCTTCATGGATTTGTTATCTGCTGAGGTAAAGAGAATTGTGTCATCTACATAGGCTAGGTGATTCACCTCTGTACTCCATTTTGGCATCCCAAATCTCTTGAACTCTTCTTTCTCATTTAAAACATTTAGACTCCTAGACAAAGCTTCAACATCTATTATGAATAAGGTTGGGGATAAATGATCCCCTTACTTCACTCCTTTAGTAGATTTAAAAAATCCTTGCCCATTTATCAAAACTAAATACCAGTTGTTTGCTAGCAACCGGTAAGCCTTATCTATCAAACTTCATTGAACCCAAATTTTCTCAACACTTTGGTGATGAACAACCAAGAAAGCCTATCATAGGCTTTTGTCATATCCAATTTAATCACCACATTAGATGTCTTGGTTCTAAGTCTGACGTCACTCACTATTTCTTGAGCTAATAGAACATTCTCCACAATGCTTCTGTTTTTAACAAATCCTGTTTGATTTTTTGAAATTAACAAAGGCAACAAGTTCACCAGTCTCTCATGAAGGACCCTAGAGATTACTTTGTTCATGATATTACTTAAACTAATAGGTTTGACATCTGAAAATGTTTTAACTTAATCTTTCTTGGGAAGTAGAACCAGTTTTGTGTGTGTCATAAATTTTGGAAGTTTATACCCTCCTAAGTAAGCTTGTACAACATCTATGACATCTTTCTTAATAGTTTCCCAGCAACTGTTGTAAAATGCCCATGTGAAACCATATGGGCCACCTGAACTTTCACCGTTTAGGGCAAAAACAGCTTCTCTAATTTCTTGTTCATCTGGAATTTTATTTATTGACTCATTTTGCTCTTCATTGATGATGCATGGTATGTGATTAAGAAGCTCAAAATCCTCTGGAAAACAGTCCTCAGTAAACTGTTTTTAAAAATAATTTATTGCTTCAGAAGCTAATTCTTCATTGTCATATATCCACTCTCCATTTACATCTTGAATTCTAGTAATTTGCAGCCTTCTCCTTCTCCCTTGAACATAGGAATGAAAGAATTAGTATTTCTTTCCCCATCAGTGAACCATTTCATCCCTAACTTCTGCCTCCAATATTCTTCCTCCAAGTGTAAGTAATTAGCAAGATCAGCCTGAGATTTATGGATATTAGTTCTGTTAACTTGAGTAGGTTTCCCTTCAAACTGAATCGCTTGTGCCTGAATAATTTCTTCAAGTGTAGCAATCTTTTGTAAAATGTTACCATAAATATCCTTACTCCATTTGGCTAGGCCGACCTTCAGATTCTTTAATTTCTGATGAAAAGTAAACATTGGATTTCCATTGTCTTCTGAACACCAGTGTGCTCTAACAAATTCCTTGAAACCTTGATGCTTAGTCCAAAAATTCAAGAATTTGAATGGCCTTATTATATCCTCTCTATTTTGAGTGCACTGTACTTTCAGAGGTGAGTGGTCTGAACGTTTCTTGATAAGATGCTTGACACTTATGACTGGATATTGATCTTGAAATTTCTGATTAGTTAATACCCTGTCCAGTCATTTAACAATGCATGTTTCATTCGTTCTCCCATTCCACCATGCGTAGGTACTCCCAATATAACCCATATCTATCAGTGTCCACAAGCAGTAATACAGTTTGCAAAGTCCTTTGTTTCCTGAAAAAGAATTGGGAGCCCTCCAAGCTTCTATTCACTCGACAAAATAACATTAGAATCCCCTCCAATTATCCATGATTTTGAGTGTTGATCTGCAATAAGATTTAAAGATTCCCATAATTATTTCCTGACACCAGTACTACAAACAACATATATAGTAGTTATCATCCATGTTTGGTGTTTCATTAAAAGGGAAAGTAGAGCCCCGATAGGTTAGGCCTTTGATTTTGTGTTTGTTCCATATACGAAAAAATTGGGAGATACATACCTCCATTGAAGTATTGTGGAAGGAATAGAATATAGCATAAGATACTTGGGAATATGGTAGAGATCCTAAGTACCCCTCCTCATTCTAAACATCAACAAAAGGATCTGAGATCATGTGGTCCCCTTATATGATCATGAATCCTACTAGCATTTGTTCATTTGATATGTCATTTGCATGTCTTGTGTATATTAAAGTCCTTATTTGTATGAGTTCTACTTGTGTATATTCAGTGAATTACATGGTCAAGAAAGGGGTTTAATTTGTCATATTATTATTTTATGAACCATATCTATTGAGACTTCATGCTAGACTTGTCAATACGT